TTTTTAACCTTAAACCGCATAAACACATTTCATTACACCAAATACACAAAATAATGTTCTTTTTAGCAGCATCATATGACCCCTTTAATGGGTCAATGACAAAAAACATTTTCAATCTTAAAAAAAAAAAAACTAGTTTAAAATAGATTTTCACAAGTTCTTAGAATTGCAACATTTGTATTAATGTTGGTTTCGAAACATTTTTTATGTTAATTATTAATTTAAATATAATTACTTTTAATACAATTATAATTCAATAAATAAATATCATTACATTTTAGTGAGCTGCAATACATGATATTTAATACCTGAAATGAACTATCCTTGTCCTGTCAAAGGCCAAACTAACTGATATTTCTGTCTGCAGGGTTCCTCTCTATGATATCATTTCTTGTTTTTTCTACTTTTCTATTTGGCAAGACCAATGTTTTTTCACTGCCAAATTACTTTTGATGTTAGGACAGTAGTTGTATGACATTTTTTTTATTTATTTTTTTTACATTTTTGAGCCTTTTCTTTTTGTTCAATTCACAAAATGCATGTGAAAGAACTGCTTTATATGCTAACTGAAATAAATCTGAAATAAAATATAAATATTAGCAAAATAATAAAAAGAAAATTAGAAATGTTGCCTTGGTATTTGAAATATGTTTAGGTGAAGTACTAAAATGACTGACTGAAATAAATATAAATGTACATATATAAAAAATAACAAAAATAAAAACAAAAAAATAAGACAGTTGGTACTACCCCTGACAGCTTTTACATTTTAGTTTTTTCTTCTTATTCAGCTGATGCTTCAAAGAAATGCTTCAAATCCCGGAGTAGGGAAAAATCAATAGATCTTATGTAAAAATAATTGTAATCATTTTAAAATATCAGTCACTACTTTTAAATACAAAAACATTTTAGTTTAAAGCAACCTCTGGATTGAACCCTGGCAAATCTGTGGTTGAAATAAGTCAACTCTCGTTCAGTACTCTGTCAGAACAAACATCAGCAGACCGCCACATTTCCATTGTCCGCCATGAGACTCATTTTTGAATCCTCAGGGTTGTAAATGTGAAGTGCTGCTGCAGATATCTCAGAGGGTTTAAGAAGGTAGCGTTCTGACCTTGCTGTTCTGGATGAGGCGGAGGATGTGCTCGAAACAGTTGTTATTCAGAAAGATAGCCTGCAACACCGGCCGGTCTGAATACTGCAGGATCTCTGGGATAGCATCTGCAGGGCAAAAACACAAGGACATTCAGTCTTTTTGACTTGTGCCTTCTGGAGAGATAGAACTGTGCCAGTTTTAAACACTTAAATAAACAGCGCTGGGACAGCTGCATTACTCATGGAGAAGAAATGAAATGCAACCAAATGTTTTGTAACATTTTGCAACTTCTCGATTCAAACTGCTTCCAGAAAACTGGTTACAATTACTCTCTGAGTGTCTGAACTTCTGCAAAAGGGGTTGAAGTTCACTACAAACACATTCTAAATGTTTAGAAACAAAATCAAACATATCACACAGTGATCTGGATTAAATATCTAGAATCAGAAGCACTGCAAATCAATACTGTTGTGTTGATATTCAATCTCAAGGTTTTGTTTTATTTATTTATTGCAAAATAATTGTTACATCATGACATAATATCATATTACATGCCCAATACATGAAATACTTCTGGGAAGTCGGTGTGACATGCTGTACTCCATCTACCAATATGCATTTTCCTGCTTGATTTATAATTATAATGCATGCCGCTTATGACCTTATAGTAACTGAGGAGCCTGAAATATTTGTGTTTCAAAAATGATTGTCACACTGCAGGACCATTTAATGTAAATTAACTGGCCTAGTGTTTAAAATAGTGAAAAGGAAATGGTGACCTATTTTATTTTCAACCTAAAATTTTAATTCAATATTGACTACTCTTACAAACACAGAAACCTAGAGGGGACCATGAAAGCTACTAAACACACAAACAGACTTTGGGAACCTAATAAACACAAACAGACAATGTGCAAATACAATACAACCCCTCAACAAAACAAACAAGCAAGTGCAAACACAACACTGCATGATATATAATGATTTGCTTAATAAAATGGTGTATTCAAATATTTACTGTTCTGTAATGCTGTAAACTCTAGGATAAAACCATCCATCCATGCATGCATCCTTTTGAATTAAAGAGTATGGCTCAAGTGGCCTTTCTTTGAGCAGCTGAAGTTTATGAAGCAGATTAATAGGGTGTTAATTGGGACGTGGCTTGACGTATGGTGTCAAGAGGATTGCAAGGGAAGGGGTCTTACTACTGTATACACAATACTACAATTACTGGTTGCTGTTCAGTGAGGCTCAGTGAGTGCTAATAGGGTGATCCTTAATGTTTAGAGATTAGGATATATTGTAATATACTGACACATAAGCTTCATTCCAAAACTGCTGCTTGCTGCCTACATAGGCAGCTGCTTTCTGAGGCAGCATCCTAACAGTCATGGAACCTCAATACTCTCCTTTGTGTTCCATAGAAACAAGTAATACCAGTTTGGGAGAACATGAGGGTGAGTAAATAATGATAGAATGTTCATTTTTGGGTGAACTATCCCTTTAAAAGGAAATATTATGAAATGGAAACCACAATAGAATACTGGATGAAGAGTTTTTTTTTCTACTTAAAGGAACTGCAAGAAAGAATTAATAAACAACAAAGCAAAACAAAACAACACAATACTAAAATAAATGAAATGCCTGAAATAAATAAAAACAAAACAAGCAAAAAGATCAAACGAAACCATCCAAACAGCCATAGAATCTCAAAAGTGAGTGATTTGAAACACTCTACAAAGGTAGCTACTGCACACAAATAGCATTCTGCATATGAGACTAAACTCAAAGCCTGACATTAACATGTTTCTAAGCTAGCAGCATGATAACCAAATAAACACAAAAATACACAATTAGACCTCTTACAGGGCAATTAGGGAATATTGGTGCATTCAAGGGATAGGGATAGTTCACCTGAAAATTAAAATTCTGGCATCATATACTCAATATCATTACAAACCTGCATGACTTTATTTGTTCTGCAGAACACAAAAGAAGATTTTTGTAGAATATATATAGAGAGTCTTTTAACCAAAGTCAATGGGGTGCAATGCTGAGACATTTTTGAAAATATCTTCAATTGTGTTCCACAGAAGAAAATCATTAAAAAAAATAAAATGGTGTTAAAAAGTGATGGCAAATATTCTCTTACTCAGCATATGCTCGAGAAGGGTAATGAGGTTATCCTCCCAGGTCTGCATATCTTCCTGCTGGCTGTCTGGTGGCCGGTTCCAGTTGAGCAGCTGGAAGTAACTATCCAGTACTGTCCGGATCTCCACCTGCCTCTCGGCTGGGCTGCTGGAGTGCAGAAGGTGGATCATTGCAGTCAGGCACCGCAGGGACATTTTGAGCAGCCAAGGATCCTTGGGCTCTTGTGGGGGTGAAGCAGGAGTGAGGCACCAGGAACGCAGCACGGACATGAGGTCCTTCACAGCCTGGGGGGTGATGGAGACAAGGCCGTTCCTCTGAAAAACAAACAAACAACAGCACATCACACACTGATATAGTAAGGTATGTGGTTGCAAAATCAGAGATCCCTCTGAAATCCCTCATGCGTTAATACATGTTAATGTAAACAGGACCAGAGAGTCTCATTTACCTTGCATCCACTGATTATAGCTCCCTGTAGATGCACCAGTCTCACCACGAGCGGCTCTGGGATTAGTTCGCTCTCTTGTAGGTAGTCTGTGGGTGTAGCCAGTCATTTAGTCACAAGAATATTAAAGCTGAGCATTGTTTGTGCAATTGTTATTATTGTACCACTCTAAGGCACAAAAACGTATTTTTATTGGAGAGAAAGATCATTAAAAAATGAAAACCGTCATCATTTACTCCCTTTCACGCCTTTCCAAACATGCGCATTTATTTATTTTCTAGAACACTGAAGACAATATTTTGAATTTTTTCATACAAATAAAGTCAATGTGGTCCAATGTTGTTTGACAGAATTAAATAATAAACCACCTATCAAACAAAAACACTGAGGCTTCAAATGAACAAAGATCAACTTAAAACACAAAGACTAGTCAGAATTAACCAATTCAGGGCTTAAAGGCTTTTGTTGTTCTGTTTACTGAAACTACAAGAAAGAAATAATAAACAACGAAACAAAAGACAAAACAAAGCAAAGCAAAAAACAAAAAAACAAAAGAAACAAAACTAAACTAAAAACGATCAAAGAGAACAAAACAAAACACCAAAACGCGAACCAGGAGTGTTTTTGAATTTTAAGTTGCTCCACAGTGTGGACCTGAGATTTCATTTTGGGGGGGGGGGATTTTGTGTGTTCATATGGCCACCCTACCTTTGAATTTAGGACATGTAGATGAGAAAATCGAACAAACCTCATACAAAAACCTTTTGGTGAAAAACAACTTTTTAGCACAAGAATCTAGTTTACCTCGCCTCACGACCACAGGCTACTTGGACCCACTGCAGCTTGCCTACTAACTACATATAGATGTGGAAGTTGCTCCACAGAGCTTATAATCACTTGAACAAAGCTTGCATCACTATCAGGACTATGTTATTTGTTTTAGTCATGATTGCCTGAAGGCTGCAACAGTCCTGCTTCTCAGATTTGTTAAGTTGTGTGCTTATAAAGAGTCCATGTCAAATCTAGACTGCATCATGTTTAAATCCCATTCCTCACTCTTTCCTGCCTCAACTGTCCTATACATCACATTACCTCAATGATATATATATGGAAGGTTGCTTCTACAGAATATCCAGACAGACCTTGACACAATCTAACAGAATAAACAAGTCATAACCATCTATCACTTAAAAAAGGACAACTCCACTGATTCAAGATGATTTACATGAAGTACATTTAAAGGCAAATAACATGACAAAACAGAGCCCTTAATCACTATGGATTAATACTATAGGGATCAGATTGCCACTTCTTTACAAACAAGATTTTCTCCTGGGAGGCGGGATGTGCGATATCTCCCAGGATGTGAAGATGGGAGTAAATGGAGAAAATGAAAGATTGTGTAAGAAGGCAGGAGTGGGTGACATACCGTGGAAGAGCAAAGGAAGCTCCTCTGGTAGAACAAGAGGTGAGAATTTATACTTGCTTCTCTCCAGCATACTGACCTCCTCCCTGAAAAACACACAAATCAACGCTCTTTTTGGAAGTATCTACTTAGTTCCTATTTACTACTAAAGCAATAAGCTACAGGACACTGCAGTAAATCTTCTTAATCTATAGTGAAAAATATATCTTGAATTTTCATGCTTTAAGCATAAATCTAGCAAAGAGTTAAAAATATTATTTAATAATAATGAACAACAGCAATGTAGCTGGGTACATTACTTGCAAATTGTAATCCGTTACTGAATCCAAATTACATGACAAAAATTTTAATTAGCAATATAATCCATTACATTACACATTTTAGGTAATATAATCATATAATTAAATATAACTTTAAATTGTAATTGTAACATTTAAATTGTACTATAATTAATATTGTACCATATTGATATAAAAATACAATGAGAAAGAAAATATATTCCATTCTGTGTTATTAACAACATGAAGAGCATTGAACACTACATTATGTCAAGGTTTCCCAAACTGGGGTTCATAAAGGAACTGCAGGGGGTTTGTGAGTTTAATGAAAAGCTAATAATTAATTAAATCATAAAAATGTCAAATTAAAATAAATCATTTTAAAATAACATCAATCAATTAGAACACTTACTAAAAAAATTAAATGTATTTATTTACCTCCATGCCATGTGTAGGTTATTTTAGAAAGGAACATTTAAAAGATGAAAAACAGGAATTATGAATAAAATATTGCTCTTAGGTGAATAATATGTAATCATGTAATCAATAAAGAAAAGTAACTGTAGTCTGATTACGAGTATTTTAAAAAGTAATTTATTCTAATTACTAGTAGTTCATTTTAGGAATCTGATTACTTTATCCAGATTACATGTAATCAGTTACTACCCAGCTCTGTGTATATATATACATATATATATATATAATGGTACAAGTTGATTAATCTACACATACACTGTTTAAATGAATTATGTTTATTTTTCTCACCCCAATGGCAACTTGTTTCTTGCTTTAAGCATAAATCTCCAAAAAAATAATAAATTATTAAATTATAATATTAATAATGGCAGTACAATTATGTTATGAGGTTGAAATACCATGCCATTTTGATGTATCATGGTACAAGTTGATTAATCTACTCTTACACCATGATGTTGGCATCAATTATGTTTATTTTTCTTACCCACTGGCAACTTGTTTATTGTTTTAAGCATAAATCTCCAAAAATAATAAATGATTAAATATAACAACAACAACAAAAAGTAAAACGATATCACCATGTTTTAATAACATGAGATATAGGCTATACCAAATATATCTCAAGTTATTTCATAGTACAATATGATTAATCTACTAGACACCATTATGCTGACATGATATCTCATGATACTACAAAGAATGTTTCCATAAAAACATTGTAACACTGTAATACTTTAATATAGTACAAGGGACTACTCAATTCATCTGCCAAATACATTAGCAATTAATAAATATTTAATAAATAGTTCATTAGTCTATTTGTAGGCTGTTTACAGGGGTCAAGAAAGGTGGACTGTTTCATAATACACCTCAGTTCATAACCTGCACATTAGTGGATGGACAGAACAGTGCTCCTTGAAGAGATGCACACATGCTGTGGGAAGTTTGCGCTGTGTGTAGTTCAGAGAGCTGAGCATAAGAAGGCTTGAGAGCTGAGAGGTGAGGACTGGGTGTGTTATTAACTGTTAGAGTGGAGCTAAAACAGAGCTAGCCGCTCTTAATGGCTCCTACGCATTCTTGTTGTGGTTTAACACCCTGCCCAACTCACAGACACACACTCACCCTGCCTGCCGTCTCCTCCACGTTTGATAAGGGTCAAAGAGATTTTCACACAGCAGCAAGCCATGTTGTACCACCGACTGTAAAGTGCTCTGATCATCTGGCTGCTTCTTCAGCTGTAACACACATGCATAAACACACTCAAATGAGTCTTACACAATACACAAACCTATCTGTTTTTGGCTTGTTAACACACAAACATTCCTTTGAATAAAGCAGAGGTCTTCCACCCAAAGCTTTCTGATTCAACCTGTTCTGTTAGTTCGGAAACCTACAATAACACTACAAGCACATGCATATTAATATCAATAGCTGCATAGTAATATACAATGAAAGTTTCATTGGCATGTTTGGAATAAACAAACATTCAACAAATTTGAAGTAGCTTTAAAAAAAAATACAAGAGTAAAACTAGAAAAGTGATCATGTATATAACAGTGGCTTCCTGATATTGATAGAATAATGGAGAGGTGACAAGAAAAAATAAGACGACGAAGGGGAACTGGATTATGAAATGACGCAATCCTAGACTCAAACTTGCATTTCCCACATAAGCACCGTGGCTCAATGTATCAGCAGGGGTGCAAACTGCTATGAAATTGTTTCACAGACTTATTGACTTCTTACCTGAGTCAAACAGAAGTTTAGGAGCTTGACTGTCTCAAACACAAACCCCGGGGTCTTTTCAGAGTCTATATTCTCCATATTCCTGCAAGCAGAGATTCACATCAGAAATGGTATTATTGTACACTCAGGGAAGATCCACATCAGCTATGCAATTTGGTATAAACTGCTGGCTTGCGTTATCCCTGCTGTTTGAAGATAGAAGCTTATCAATGGGGGTTTGAGTCACTCGGGCATTATCACAAAGAGAATGATGGTGTTCACTCTGTGCTCAGTGGGAACTGACCTGCAGATGATGATGAAGAACTTGATGAGGAGCAGTGGGTGTGGAGCAGTGCTGCTCTGATCCTGCCCTGACATGTGGAGGGCACTGTGCCACAGCTGGGTGCTGAGGAACACCAACACCTCCTTGGGGAGGAGGGGGACATCAGTGCTCCATTCCTCCAGCCTGCAGACAAAAAGAAGGATGTTTTGTTTGCTTTGTTTGTTTTGTTTTGTTTTAATTTTGCTTGTTTTTTTGTTTTGCTTTTTTGTTTGCTTTTTATTTACTTAAATGTTTGCTTGTTCTTTGTTTTGCTTTTTTTATTTTTTTTTGTAGTTTTTGCTTATTTTTTTGTTTTTCTTTTGTTTATTTTTTCTTTTGTTTTGATAAATTTTGTTTTGATGAGGCACTGATAAATAGACATTAAAAAAGTCAAAGCACTATTTTCAGTCACTGAACATATGTCTTGGACTTACACCTTGGCATTGTCCACACAGAGCACAAATTAATGTTTCGTCTGCTCATTTTTTTTAAAAGTTGTGCATGTCTTCGGCTATTGCGTCATATTTTGCTGTTTTGATGTTACTCAAAATCTTTTCCAGACAAGTTATCTCAAGTTATTTTTATATAACTGATATTTTTCTAAATTTTAAACAGGCAACCCTAGCTGAACCACAACATTGGGCTGGAATTGATCCTTCATCTCCAACATAGTATATGTGCTAATCTTTAGATCACAGATCTGGTGTGCACTGAATTAGCCAATATCAAGACTCACTATATCAGATCTGCAGGATGAAGGAGATGAAAGTATTCAAAATATGGATTTTTCAAACTCACCAACCATTAAATGAGCAATTAAACAAATATAGGCCTTAAAATACCATCATAGTTAGAGTTCCATCTGGACCTGACCACCTACAGATCAACTCCCTGTGCCTCTGACATTTTGATAAGTCAGCATGTAACTGACTCACCGACGAGGCTCCGTCGACTGCACATCAATGACCTTCTCAAAAGACGCCACGAATGCCTCCAACCACTGCTGCAGGTAAGTGACATCTTTCTGAAAGACAGAGAGATAAAAGGAAAAAGTAAGAGGCTGTAAAACATTTTTGACAGGACAACCCCAAGGTTAGAGAGGTCAAGGTTACAAACAAACTCACACACAAGATAATCCAAGTGTCTATGGGTACTCCTTTTGCATCTAAATTGAAAAGTTCTACTTTTAAAACCACATCCATTGTGCCCAGTCCAGTTGTTTTTGAACACATCATTTGTGAAAGCCCCTTGAGAAACGCATCTCATCGGGGTCAAATGAACCCGAAGCCAGATTATTCTGAACTTCCTTAATGCCAGTTAATCAACTAGCCCAGCCAACAGTCTCTCAGGCACCCTAAAATCTATTCAACTTGGAAATTATGTAATTTTGCACATGCGTAGAAAACCTTTACACCATGAGCATGACTGGGTTCTATCTTCAAAATCAGAGCATGCACACACTTGTGTTAACACAACAGGAAACTACACGGTATGCAAACTTGTGCAGTGTAACTGTGAATTCGTAATGCAATAAAAGCAGTGACAATGGTTTTGTCTATGAGACAAAAACAAGAAGCACTTGCACAATCCATAATGTCTTGCATTAAACTGCATTAAACTGTAAACTGTAGCTTAAATGATGCAGCTTGATCCGCCTACTCATACAGGGGAAGTTGGGCTGTCAGCAGCTTCATAAAACACTCTCTGATATGTACACACTCTGATAGCAAAATACAGAGGGCTTCTGGCATACCAAAACAATGTGCACTGCAGCAGGAAGCAACTGTACAATAACACTAAACCTGCTCAAGGTGGAAAGAAACGAACTTTACCAATTGTTGTTCATTTAGGGGCCAGTCCATGTCTCATGGCAGGTGATGTGTGGTGGAGGGGCTCTTGTTACCCCGGTCTCTGCGGAGCCCCCACCAAGTTGCTTCTATAAAGTCCAGAATGTGTTTGCCTGTAAGCCTCAGAATCATTCAGAATCCATCATGATGCCTCCGCTTGTTTACTTCTCTGCTCTTTTCTGCTCTCTTGCTGTCTGTACTTCTGTCGAGCAACCAGGAAATGGCAAGTCACTTTAACTGAGCCATATTTCCTGTCTTCTCTGAGCTGGGCTCATCGTCACCATGTTCTCTTCCTCCTTTGCCGCTACCACAGCTTTATTGGTAGAGTGTGTTTTATCTCGCTACAAACTAAAACCGGTAAGCCACGGTGCACCTGATGCAACATTTCACAACATTTTGAATAAAAATTCTGTCTTTATTTATTCACTTTCATGTTGTTTTCAACTTTATTTATTCACTTTCATGTCATTTTAAACCATGACTTTCTTACATTCAAGGAACACAAAAAGAGAAAATTAGAATAATGTACTGGCTGCTCTTTTCCACGCAGTTACATGCTTTCAAGCTTCAAAAACGACAAAAAGCACTATAAAATCTCATTAGAGTGATGTATACAACATGTGTATTATAGTCTGAGTCTTTGTGTCACAAACATGTCAGAATTTAAGTCGTTACACACGGCTAATCTTCCTGTCCAGAGAGCTGTTAACCTCTCTAACTGAATCATTCACTCTCAGAAAAAAAAGGTACAACAGCTGTCACTGGGGCGGTACCTTTTCAAAAGTTATACTTTTGTACCTTTTAGGTACTAATATGTACACTTTAGGTGCTAATATGTACACTTTAGGTGCTAATATGTACCTTTAAGGTACCATTATGGACTCTTTTGGTACAAAGGTGTGCCTTTTCACAAGGTACTGCCCCAGTGACAACTTTTGAACCTTATTTTCTGAGAGTATTGAGTTAAATTTGAGAACAGGATCATTCTGATTCTTGAGCAAATCATTCAGGTCACACGTTATGTCAATCATGTTTACACACTGCCTCCGAAATATTCGTCCGTCATAAAAAAAAAATTCGGATCGGGTTAGATTTTTTCCGTTTTTCGCATCTGTAGCAAGCATTTTGAGAGGTGTTTTGACAGTTCAGAGCCACCGTATGTTTGTCATTTCTCCGATCACAAATGCAGACATGGTTTTATGTTTACATGGCGCGATGCAACGCAACGCGTAAAAAGACAGTGTAAAGGTCATAGCACACGGAGTCACGTTAAAAAAATAAATACGACCTCACGTTATGAACACATACGAAAATGTCGGACTCCGTGTGCAGAGACCTTTAGTCATTATAATCCATAATTATGTCCCCACTGGATGCAACAAATGCCTCGTTTATAATGGGTTTTAATGTTTTTGTCTCGTCACAATTCGGGAGACGGCATCACAGTATGGTAGGGGCGTAACATTTACGTCACACTTTTGAGGTATTCGGCCAATCACAACGCACTGGATAGCTGGCCAATCAGAGCACACCTCGCTTTTCAGAACGATGAGCTTTGTAAAAATCGACGCGTTTCAGAAAGGCGGGGCATAGAGGAGAAACAATAATGTACAGTATGTGGAAAATAATGTGTTTTTTAACCTTAAACCGCATAAACACATTACATTAAACCAAAATACACAAAATAATGTTCTTTTTAGCAACATCATATGACCCCTTTAACTGGATCAATTGAATCAATTAAAGAAATCGGACTTAAAAAAAATGATTTGTTCATGACAAAATAAAAATTCTGTCATCATGTACTCACACTCATGTTATTATAAACCCTTAAAACAAATCCCATATGTATAGAGTGGTTTATGCTAAGTCTTCTGAAGAAACATGATCTCTTTCTATGATGAACATATTGAATTTAGGCTTTTACTCGCATATAAACACTGATCAACGCACATACATAGAGCACATCAATTACGTTAAATGATAGTTCAAAGTACTTGCTTGAAGCAATGAGATGTCAAGCAAGTATGGTTTTATCAATGTTTATATGCGAATAAAAGCCTAAAATCTGTATATCATATAAAACAAGCACGTCTCTAGAACCGCTCGATTTATATGGACTTCTTTTAGGATCCTTTATGAACTTTCTGAAGCCTCAAAGTTTTAATAGAATAGACTTTCAATGGATGGACTCAATTCTTCATTTGTGTCTTGAAGATGAACTACCGTCTTACGGGTTTGGTTTGGTTTTTGATATTCTGGTTGAACCATCCCTTCAAATTTCAACCTGTTTCTCACAAGAGTCAAATGACTTACAAAGATTTGATGTACAGCCTATTAAGTCATTTTGAAGCTGGACAAACCCAGTTCTCATTCACTTTCAACAAACTGCTTTGTAAACCATCATGCTACCTAAGGCTGACTGACAAAAATGTGATGATGCTGTAATTGAACTGAATTCTTTCTAAAGACCTTGACAGAGTTGAAAGCCCAGTTGTGCAACCCTCTCATTTTGGTACACAGACCATGGTTGAGAGCACTGTAAAGCATGCTTTTATCCCACAAAAATATTTGGTGTGGCTTTCAGATAATAGCTGGAGGGAAACCTGAAGTCTGAGCAACAATCACTGATTCAGTCATCAGTATGAATCAGCAGTCAGATGGAAGTGACATGCCCCCACTTGAGCAGATGCATGAAAAAGCACTTTTACAACCGTATGGGGAATGAACCCTAAATTTAAACTCTTAAAGCAATGACACGGAACTGAAGTTGAGCTGGTATTGAGTCACTTTGCTGATTGATCACTTGATCCTAACTAAGTGCTGAGCTTTACAGGGGGAAATGCCAACAGTGTGTCTCTGTGGGCCCAGTGTTGCCTACTGTTTATATCATCACCCTTAATGAGTTTTCCATTTTAAGCTCTGGCACAGCTGAATCCAGTAAATTAGATTTTGAACTTGACACAGATTTCATTTATTGAGACTACCAGATTTACGAGAAAGCAATCGCAAATAATGTTCTATTTTGGATGCTTTTCTAAAGAAACATTATTTACATATGAAATATGTGATAACTATATAATCGTACTTTGTACGTACTACACAGAGGTTTGGCAGTCTTGTAACTACCGTTTCACCACTAGATGATCTGTCAGGGTTGCTACATTTCAACAGAATTAGAAATTGCACGTCCTCAAACAAACAGTCAAAAATAACAGCAACAGTCAACATGCTAAATTTCTTTAATTGATAATGGGAAATGAAAAAGTTTTAGGCAGATCTAAGAACTGAAACAGATATTGTGAAACCGTCGTTATTTTTTGTATTCACATCCAGATGTGACAAACATACATGTGCAACAGTTAATACTTTCTGATTCTTACCATGAATAAGGTACAAAACAGGGCTTGCAACTTGAATAAATCAGTCAATATATGGACATTAAAATACGGGGAATATATACATATTAGAAAATAATAGGTATATAATTATTATTTTTGGTAATTAACAATAAATAAAAAACATTGCATTTTGTAATAGTTAAGTTATTGGACTTAGCCTATATTTAACTTATATTCAAATATCTTTTTCATACAATACTTTTGGGTCATAGAATGAAATGGTTAAAATGGAAAAAAAATGGAAAAAGTAGAATGAGATTATGTATATCTTTCTGTCCATAATACGTAATGGGTGTCACAATATTAGGTACATTTATGTAATTTGATGTTGAAATTATGACGTTGTTGTGCGATTTCATTGTTTGATATAGTCAAGAAAGTCCAAACCTCTGATGTGGAACGGGCCAAAATCCCCATTTTAAGGGAGGACCGAGACATTTGATGTGTTTAAAATGAACTACTTTTCATGATAGATTAATTTCATGCTAGACAATATCTTATCAAATTAATTTCTCTAATGAGACACCAATTTGTACCCTACTCATGGAAACTAATTGCTATTCATTCCCCTTTTCTGTTAATATGATAACTGTCTTGGGATGATAAAGTAGAGTTAGTTAAATTCAGGTCAGTTCTTGAATGCTACAGTATTTGACTCCAGTGGTGTTCTGTGAAGAAGGCAAATCACAGATGAGCCATTCTGTTTGAGATTCCTGGCAGCTCAGAGAGCTCGCAGCTGCTCAGCGGACACAAAGAGAGTTTTTCTCTGGGTTTCT